CCTTCTTCTATTATTTTATATAAAGATTCTGAAGAAGGCTACACTTTTGGATACATATCTGAATGTCTTTTTTGTCATCGAGACTTTTTAGTAACACCCGACTAGATAAAGGCTTCTGTCAATATTCATATAATATAATTCCGCAGAAGCCTTCATACCATATCCAAGTTTATACCATACTCAACTATATATCTAGAAAAGTGTAGTCTTCTGCTAATATTTTATATAATGATTTCGCAGAAGCCTACACTTTCAGATGCATATTCAGATGTCTTCCTTTTATGATTTGCTACCCAAGTATAAGTATTCAATATATGTCACATATACCCGGGTGCATACTAGCTTATTCTAAATACCCACATATACCTGAGTATCTATCTAAAAATAGGGCCTTCTTCTATTATTTTATATAATAATTCTGAAGAAGGCCCCACTTTCGGATACATATCTGCTTACCTTCTATTTTCGATTTGTTGACTAAGTTTGCTATCGCTTCTTTTTTATATCTATCAAAAAAAATCACGTTAGAATATAATTATTACGAACTTACTTACTCTGAATTCTACCTAGCAAGAATGCATTTATTCACGTCTAGATGCTTTCACTATTCCTGAGAACATATCTTGAAAAATGAAGGCTTCTGCCAATATTTATATAATAGATTACACAGTTACCTTCACTTTTAGTTGTATATTTAGATACTCTCCTTTTACGATTTGTTGGCTAAGTTCGCCATTGCTTCTTTTTTTGTATCTATTAAAAAAATTAATTAAACATTTTAAAAATATATTGTGATATAATAACTTTACCTTGTCAACATGTATACCTCAACTATTTCTGACCAAACTGATTGCACTGAAACCAGCCCCCTCACCCGCTACGACGGCGCCGACTCTGATGAATACTTGAGCAACTCAGATAGCTATAATGACAATGATTCTGATTGTAGATCAGATGATTATAATAACTATGAGTTCAATTGTAAGTCAGATAGTAAAGAAGCTCCCTGCGCTTCATTCAGCACTACTGAGACTTCATTAGTTCAGCTACTAAATATACAAGAGCAAAAGACTAATGCAACATACACTTTAAGAGAAGAAAAGTTTAATACCGATTTTACTCCTAAAAACCTGCTAAATAGTATTCAGAGAATTCTCTTATCACCATCTAGAGATATGTTAAATAATAAAAGGTCATTAGATTGTCTTCTAATCTATTCATTCCTCTTTCCAAATGAAAAGGGCCCCAGTTTATAAAATGCTTATGACTATAATGAAGTAGAAGATAAATTGGTTATCAAAATCAACCAAGATGATCGAGCCCCAAAGTTTTCTGTTGCAGATGATATTGCAGAAGTATACAGTTTACTCAGGATTCATGAATGTATTAATGGTCAAAACCCTTTAAGAGCTGTAATTGATATTGATGCTTCGCAAGAAGATATGAAAACAACTGGTGTTAAGGCACAAGAAGTATTCGTTCGAATTTGTTGCTCTTTCATAAGAGCTTTGTATCAAATTCTTAACTGTGGCTAGAAGAATATTCTCAAAGGGTTAGTAATTGCTACGTCTTCAGATCCTAGTAAATGCAGTTATCACATTTTATATACACAAGCTCTTCTTATAGATCATCGTGAACTCAAAGCTTTCACAGACTTAGTATATACATTAACCGGAGAAAAATTCGGTAAATATATTGATCAAGGATTACCTGGTCGAAATTTTAATCTACGGCTTATTAGTTCAGCAAAAAAAGACTGTGTAAAATGTATTCTTCAATTCTCACTAGATAATAGGTGGAATAAACTCAATCATATTAGGGTTCAACTGCCTTTTAATTTGGGTCTCGAAGTAAGGCCTCGATTACTTAGTGAAGAAAAAAATAATAATCCACTAAGAATAATTGTGGATCACAAAAATATGCGGACCTAGTTTTGCAAAAGCATTCTAAATATCTTAGGGATTGGACTATCGAAGAAAAGGATTTACAAAGCTTTGTATATTTTAACCAAAAAGCTCTACTAGAATATCCACTATATAAATACATATATGACAAGGATCAGCGATGGTTCAGTTATGTATGTGCTAATAATGGGATATTCATCATAAAATGCTTTCGCCAAAATAGCAATGAACCTGGGGAAATATTTGAATGTGACCTATCTATTGTGGAAAAAATTCTGCAAAAAAATAAAATTTTACTACAACCTTCTTGCAAGGTAAAAGGCCCGGGCTTCCCAATAGCTTTCATAAAAATACCATCTTGGGTCAAATATAGTAAGACCCTTATCTTATGGCTATAGAAACTTACAAGGAGGTATGTAAGACAATTACCCAATGAAGGCGATATTTATATAGGGTCACCTTGAGAAACGAGAAAAACATATGTTCTTGAAAATTTGGTTATTCCTGATGACATAAATTTACTAGTGCTGTCTACGTGCCACTCTTACTCAAATGCTGTTACTACAAGGCTTAATCTTAAGTCATATTGCGATATCAATGGTAATTTAAATTTACCTGATCAAAAGAGAGTAGTATATCAGATAGAGAGCTTATACTGTATTACTAATAATTGCAAATGTAATAAAAAATGTAAATGTCGTCCCAGCCAATATGATTTATGGCTTGATGAAATAGTATCTATAATTGCTCAGGCACAAAGTCATTTGGCTGGGCAATCGATAGAAAAATTGTATAAATTAATTCAAGAAGCAAGACGCATTATCATCATGGATAATGATCTTACCGATCTTAATATCGAATGGATTAAGCCTCTTCGTAAGAATAGGCTATTTGCTATTATTCATAATACTTACCAGCCTCAGAATGGTAAAACATTCCGCTTGGTTTCTAATAAAGAAACTGTGTTAGCTGAACTTTGGGATTGGGCTAGGCAAATATCTTCACTACCTTCTGAGAAACGAACATGCGCATCACTTATCTGTCATCTTAGAAAAGACGTACAAGGAATTGTTCGTGCTCTTAAAACTGATTTTCCAGAATTACAGATTAAAGAATATCATGGTAAATCTGATCCAGTGGAAAAGGCTCATGACTTTAGCAATATAGAAAAATCATGGAAAGACGTAGACCTAGCTGCCTATACTAGTACTCTAAAGATAGGAGTGTCTTGCACCAATCCTAAGTTTGAACGAGCATTCTGCATTTTTAACAGTTATATAGAAATGAATGCTGGGACGAATCAGATGTTATTCCGCATACGGTGTATTAAAGACTATATATGTCATATCGAACAAAGATCTTCTAACATTCCCATTACAGAAAATGGGCTATTTCGGTAGTTATTAAATGCTAAACGTGAATATCTTCCCTGAGAACTTCAGAACAGAGGAATATTTCCAGATATAGACTCTATTATCCAGAATAAGAATGTACTGACTATTCGATTATAAGTGGCCTATATGTTGGAAAAATTCCGTTTCTGACACTTATTTGGTTGGAGAATGGTCGATTTTCTCAGAGAGGTGGGTATGGTAATTTCCATCATAGAGCCTATCCCTAAATACAATGAAAATGTTACATCATTATCTCAAGTTGTGAAGATGAATTCTGCTACCATTAAAGCAGAGGAAATATCAGCAATAACTAATGCTACTATTGTTAATCATAAGACTACTGAATTTTTAAAAAACAAGCCGAAGAAGACTTTAGAAGAGATACGCTCTTTAGACCGGTATCATATTGCAGATTGTTATGGGATTTCGCCTGAATTATTGACTGAGGAATTTATCTCAAAGTATGAAAATTATAATCATATGAAATAGTTTAGAGCTTATAAGCAATTACGAGATGCTGGTATTGACAATGAAATGGCCGTTGAAGCAATCACCCATAAAGATTATAGAGAAGATAGGCTTACAACTGCAACTTGAGCTGAGAGGCATCGAATTTGCTTAGAATTATTAAAGATTTGCACACCAGCTAGAGATATTGATAATAGAGTTAGATATAAAGCTGATAATGTTAAAATATGCATTGATTCTCCTAAAACAATATCATATCTCCAGGATTTAGTTTCCAGAATGGCTCGAGTATTTGACAATACAGATGCATTACGTAGAGCTAAAAAATCGGGATTAAAAACAATTCGAGCGAAACTTGGTTTACTGAATTCAGCACTATACGCAACATATGGATTAAAATTTAAGGCTATAGATAAGAATGCTAGATATTATCATCTAGTTAGCCCATTTGATGATGAAGATGTCCCAAAGCTTCCATTATATCAAACAGGAGAAGAAATATACTGGGTAAATGAAAAAGATACTCAGTATGGCTATAGTGAGCTTTTACCTGATGAAATATTAATATAAATATACCATACCCTGACCAGGGTATATACTTTAAAAATGAAGGCTTCTGCCAATATTTATATAATAGATTACGCAGAAGCCTTCATTTTTGAAATATATTTTTTCTTACTTCTTGGTAGACAATTCATAGACCTTTCTAGGTTGAAGGGTCCCAACCCCATACTTCTGCCTCATTCGATAATTGGGCAAATGGAATTTGGCTGAATGTTTGGGACAACATTCTGTAATGGAAATAGTAGGGAAACCACAAACAAGGCAGGTTTTTTTTCATAATTTTTCATGTGAAGTCCAGTGTTTTTCACAGCCAGTAATATGAGTGCAGACTCTTCCACAAACAGGCAAAACATCTTTCAGACCCTGCAAGGAGAACACTATACAAATTACAGAAGATATTCAGATATGTGCTAATACCATTCTTCATGTAAAGTAGTCTTCTGCCAATATTTATATAATAGATTACGCAGAAGACTACCCTCGATTTATACTATCTGCTAAGGTATTCTTTTGCTATTATTTTATATAATATTTTTGCAGAAAAATACCCAACTATATACTATAAAAAATAGTGCTATTCGACTTAATAATATAAATAAAAAAAATTTTGCTTACTTTCTGGCAGATAATTCAGAGGGGATTCCTAATGCTCCAAATTTCAAGCTAACCACTAATCCTCAAAGAGATCAAGACCCATATCCTCATCGTCTTCATCATCTAACTCAGAAATGGGAGCTTCATAGATTCTGGGTGGCTCTGGAGCTGAGCTTTTAATTACAACCCTATCACCTAATATTTTGACCAGGATCGAATCTGTTAAATTTCTTCCTAATGAGTCTGAAATAGTTGTGAAGAAGCGGAAAACAAGTGTTTACGGATCAAAGCACTACTATCATCTGACTCAGAAATTGGAGCTTCAGGGATTTTGGGTTGAAGGGCCTCAGCCCCATACTTTTGCCTCATTCGATAATTTAGAGAATGAAATCTACCCGAATGATCAGGACAACATCCCATAGTAGAAACAGTATATTTACGACAACTACTAACAAGGCAGAGTTTTTTTCTATATTTTTTTCATATAATTTTCAGTGCCTATAACACCCTGTAAGGTGCCAGGAATTATTTCTACAAACGGTACCATCCTTCTTGATATGTGTACAAGTAAGGTAAGCCATGGCCAGAGGTGCTAAAGCAAAAGTATTTTAGGATATAAAACCCTCTTTACTTTTAATTTTATAATAAAATGTGTATTTAAATTAATCGATATTATGATGAGATAAAACATCTTTTTATACAAACGTTATGGACATATTGGACCAACCGACAGATAAATCTCAAAAAAAAATCTATAATCCCAAAACTAATTGCATGATCATTATAAATAGGTCAATATATAATAAATTGCTATATGAAGACTATATGCATTGGAAAGAGAAAGAACTCTTAATTCTGCTATTTAATGAAATGCCAATATTGAAAGAATACATTTCTTTTATATCTAATGAGATCACATATGATCCAGAAAAAAGTTTACTTATGTTAATTAATGAAAAAGTAAGTTTGTTAGAAATTTTACTCAAAGTATATAATGATAGTGCTACAAATGAGTTATTAAAAATCGACTGGAATAGTAAAAAAACGCAGGAATGGAGAAGTAATATACTTATAAAATTCCTCCATCACCTGAATTTAGCTCCTTCGAAACATAGACTGGGTGCTTTATATGATGTGTTCACTAAGGCAAATGTTTTAGAACCAAAATATATATTAGCTCTAGCGCAAGCACTTTATTAAAATGTGATCACAAAATAGGTCTTAGACTTTAAGTTTGTTTATAGCTTTGGAATGAGAATTCTGTGGCTATTTTTTTTGCTTATTCTATCTACCTGCAGATTTCAAATTTTGTAAAACCTAGGTATTTCCAGCCAAAGCAGGTGGGGTTCCAAAGGGGCTACCTATTTAAGTTATAATATTTTTTGCTCCCTTAACCTAGACAAGAACCATCTCTGATATTCTCCTTTTCGAAAAAGTATAGCTCTGAAAAAAATTTTCGAATTGAACTTTTTTTCTAAAATATATAATCTGAAAACTACAGATTAATTTAATACTCACCCTATATTCTACTCACCACATCATGTCTGCTATTATAACCAAGTTTGTCACAAACCACAAACTCACCAATGAGATAAGTCTCGAAGAGCTTAGCCAATATGCGTTAGAAATACTTAAGCTCTTAATAACTGGCACACTACTAGTAGATAAAGAGAAAGGCACCAGGCCCGTAATTACCTTCAAAAAGGGTATGAATTTAGCAAAAAACAAGCATTTGCATTAATTCCTCACGAGAGAATTGGGCAGAGTAAAAGCCAAGTAATTTCCAAAGAAGGAGAGGATGTGAATATATGCTTAATATCTAATACCACTCTAGAAGGGGAGACTATCAAACAAATAGCTTAGCGTATTATAAAAGATAAACTTGGTGAAAAAGATGTAAAGACAATATCTAGAATCTTAGTTGAAATATCTTCTGATACCATTGTTGCCTTATCCTGCCTCTCTAGGCTTCGAAGAGAATTACAGCTCCTTAATGCTTCGGAAAAAATAATTTCTGCTACATTAAATCCGGAGGTAACTAGATTATCTAATAAAGTTCAAAAAGAGCGTAGTGAGTAACACAAAAATGAAGAAATAGATTTTCCAGACCATTTCTTGTTAGAATCAGTCAAGGAAAGATTGGATGAGTACGATGTATCTAATATACCTAACAAACAGGCTCTAGCCGATATAATGATAATGCTCTGCATTCATCCTGCTGAAATTAAAAACTTGCGTATATCTAATGGGGCTGTAACTAGATATGCAAAAAACTGAGATCAACAGAATATGGGGTTTTTGCCTTGAAAATCACCCTCTGACATTTCCGATCGGGCTAATTCGGACAAAATCAAACCCATGTATTAGTTCATGTTTATATGTAAATCCTCTTTATATTTATTGATTCAATAGTTTATTGAATAAACTATTGAATCAATAAAGGCAAAGGAGGTTTACATATAAACATAAACTAATACGCGGGTTTGATTTTGTCTGAATTAGCCCGATCAAAAATTTCAGAAGGTGATTTTCAAGGCAAAGACCCCATATTCCTCGGGTGTTTAGATTACTAGAAAAGAATGGGGAGCAGGCTAAGCAACTTCTTACTTGGATTCAGAATAATATTTGTTTTGGACAGTTAAAGGACCCAGGAAAACTTGGATCTACATACTTAAGTACATTTCTGAAAAAAGATGAATTTATTTCTGAAAGTGGTGAACCATTACTTCCTAGCTCTTTATACAAATTAGGGGCAGTATTTGCTTCTATAGCACATGGGCCTAAAAATACTTCAAAGGCTAATACTTATACTAGTGAGGCATTAAGGTATAGTCCCAACAACCACACTTCTCTATCTAAAAGATATACTATAGTCAATATGCAGAGAAGAGGTAAACTATATAATCAAGCAGAGGCATTCAAGCTCTTCGATGAAAACTGATCATATAGAGAGTTAGGTATCAATTATTAATTTTATTTTTTCACTTAAGAGAATATATATCATATATAAAATAATACAAAAATAACCAGAATAGAAATAACTAAAAAGCATTCATCCAACAACAAGTGCAATGCACCTGGTAAGCAGGAAGTTATCAGATATAGAAAGTTAGTAGCTCAGATATTTGGACTAGAAAAAATGGTAAAAAAATTGAAGAGAGATTGGCATTCCTAGAGACTGAATTAGAAGATTTAGATGATTGTGTGAACAAGAGTACTATAGTTGACTTAATACATGAAATAGTTCTCATGTGCATTAATGAAAAAGGTAAGAGTTTCTCCTATTCATCTGATTCATCTGATTTATCTGAAGAATCTGATTCTGTTGAGATAATTGAGGTAAGAGAACAAAAGGCTGTTCCTTATAAGCAATGAAGGAAGGTACGACTAAAAAAGGTTAAGATAAAGAAAGCTATTAGCAGTTCTAAGTAGTGATCGCTAGTTGTCCACCTTTTTCCTAATGCTATTCTTAAGATCACAATTGAGAGATATATTTTTATATTAATATTTTTTTTTCTTATAAATTGGTAGTGACAAAGTGAAATAAAAATCTTGTTTTCTCATGATTAAATCACTCAAAGCTAGATATATCAGTAATTCAGATATATCAGTAATCCAGATAGATCTTTTTTCAAGCTTGCGAGAAAAAAAAGATGTATACTTCTCCTTTTCTTCACTAATCATTCACTAGATCGACTAGTCGTTGGTTCATACTTATTAAATAAAAGCCTTAGTTGATAAAATCTATACGTTAAACATGTCTAATATTCAAGATATTTTTGAAAAATGGAAAAAAAATAGTTATACCTGATACATGTTAACTGAATATGGTTTAAACTATATCAATAATCTAAAAATACCAGAAGCATGGTTACGATTTGCGAAGTATCATTCACCCAAATATATATGAAGACATTTATTAATACTAGGATATGATATTAATAGAAAGATTCATTGGAGAAATTTTGTATTTTGTATTAAAAATAATTTAATCAGAAATGAATCCATAGCCAATAACTCTGAATTTAGAGAATTTAAAACCCAAGTAACATATTTTCTAACTTTGTATATAAAAAATCTATCAGCAATTATTATCCAGCAAATATATCATTTATGGCAAAAATGAATAAATTCAGCTAGAATAATCCAGCATGCAGTAAGGGGAGTAACAAAAATCAAGTGATTTTTTAGAGGGGGGGGATAAAAAAAGTTAAAATTATATATAAAGACCTGATTAAATATATAATAAGAAGGGGGAGAGGGGTATGCTTCTGATAAAAAAAAATCAGGTGATAAATGACACTGCCCTAATTAAATGGCTCTATCGACCAGATAAAATATTTGTAAAACATGCTCAAGATTGGTATTATCAAAGTGTCAATAAACTTGAGAATTGCCAATAGGTCGAGTAGACTTGGTTTTTCTGTCCAAATCAAATTATCATTACTTTATTTTATCTGGTTAACATATTACTAATTTGTAAATCATTCATGATTGCCAGTAGATCAATCAGTTCTTGGCTAATACTTATTAAATAAAAGCCTTAGTCAATAAAATTCACATGTTAAACATGTCCAATATTCAAGAATGGAGAAAAAATAATTATGCAAGATCTATGTTAACTAAATATAGGTTAAACTATATTAATAATTTAAAAATGCCAGAAGCTTGATTACAATTTCACATTGTTTATTAAATCAAACCTGAGTTCATTATAATTAAAAAGATTTAAACCTTTTACAGGATAAGCTAGAGTATCTAATAATGCGTTGTGTTCTAATACTCCAAATAAATTAGATCTAGAAACCATGACAAATAATCCATTTTTTGCTTGCTTAGATAAATTAAAAAGGCACATGGTAAATAGTCTAAGAAGAATAAAATATTGACGAGCTTCCTGGTCTCGATAAAGCTTTTTTAAAGCATCTTTACCAAAACATTTTTAATAATCCCATCCAGTATGTTTTTCTAGGGTCCTAGTCCCAATAATTGTCCTGATTATCATCACTATCTTCATTATCATTATCTTCTTCATCGATATTAGATTCACTATTGTCATCATCATCCATGTTAACGGGCACAACTTTATTATCTAATAATCCCAAAGCTTCTAAGAATTCACGTACCTCAATCTTATTACCAGCACTAGTGTCAGAATAAGTTTGTTCCATGACAATAATATACCAAAATACCTTATCTTCAATTTAGGTCTGGAGTAGTGATCACTAGTTCAGAAGTTTTTTGCTAGACCATGCCTCTTCAAAAATAAATTTTTTCAAAGTTTCTTAATGCTATCCCCCTTTTTTCGCAAGCTCAAAAAAAAATATATAGTTAACTGTTTTAGAAACTAAAAATCTGTTAACTAACTATATTAGTCATGGGATATGTTCTCTTACAAGGGTTCAAAACTTAATTACTTATAAATCAAATAAAATGACTCACCTAATTTTATATGTAAATTTTGATAAAAAAACTACTTTTCTTTAATTTACTCAAGAAAGTAAATATAAAACTTAACTTTAGATATGGGACTTATATTTTTTAGTATTTTTTAAATTCTTTTATAAAATTACAAGTTTAAATTCACAGTAGTTAGAGGAAGATCTTGAGCTAAATTTTTTTAATTTTTTTCTTGTTTACTATATTGGTTGAACCCCTGCAAAAAGACATGTCTCATAACTAATATGTTTTTTAGATCAAATAAGTGACTTACCCCTCAATTAAATAATATGATTGGTTAAAATAATTCTTTAAAGATTAATAAGGTTCTACTAAGTAAAGGTTCCTTTTAGTTTTAAGTAAAGTTGTAGAGGAGGTTCTTCTGATTCTAATGGTGGTTAAATCATTAAAATTGGCTTGGTGGATCCCAAGATACTTGGGGTTAAAGAAAAGAACACAAGGATCTGCAAATTCACTATTACACAAAGTATTATAGTACTATAATACTTCGTGTAACAGTAAATTTGCAGATCCTTGTGTTCTTTTCTTTAACCCCAAGTATCTTGGGATCCACCAAGCCAATTTTAATGATTTAATCACCATTAGAATCAGAAGAACCTCCTCTACAACTTTACTTTAAAGAATATATAGTGTTAACCAATCAATTATTTAATTGGGGTAAGTCACTCATTTGATTTAAAGAATATATAGTATACAAAGAAAAAATTAAGAAACTTTAGCTCAAGATCTTCTTCTAACTATTGTGAATTCAAAATTGTAATTTTGCAAAAAAATTTAAAAAATGCTAAAAAATATAAGTCCCATATTTAAAGTTAATTTTTATATTTACTTTTTTGAGTAAATTAAAAAAAAGTGTTTTTTTTATTAAAATTTATATATAAAATTAGGTAAGTCATCTCATTTGATTTATATTTAAATTAGATCTAGAGGACATGTCCCATGACTGATATTTAGCTTCAAGCAAGAATTGCGAGAAGGCAGGATCACAATTGAGTGATCTATTTTTTAACACAGGTAGAAAAGTATCAATATGAAATAAAAATCTATAAAGCATATACCCCTTGTTTTCACTAATCATTCACGATTGCTAATAGATCGATCAGTCCTTGGTTCATACAAAATAATTCATAAATAAATAGATCACCAAATCCAAAATTGTTTTTTTAATCTGCAAATTAGTTTTGTTAGTCATGAAAGTGCATAATGAATAAAAATAAGCAGAGTATATAATTAACCATAATATTTATCCGTCTATAACTTTTTATACTATATTCTAATTCTCAACCATAAAAATTTTTATCTTTGAATATGTTTACTGACCCAACCTCAAAAAATATTTCTTGTCTTAAAACTTTTGCATTGAATATTCTTAAGAATGGCTCCCCGAGGGTTATTGAAAAAAATATTGACATTCCAGAACTAGACTCATGCTCAATGTGTAAAGAAGAGCTTTTTTTTGTATGAACTTAAAAAACCATTTACAGCACTTATCTGTGGGCATATATTTCACCGTAGTTGTCTTGAGAAAGATCTTTCACAATGTCCTATACGTGCAATAGAAATTGAGCCTTTATTAATAAATCCTCTCGTTTCTATAGAAACTTCTCTTCTAATATCTACTCAAAACCAGAAAACAATATCCTCAGAATCAATAGCACTCCGTGTCTCTAATCTAAAATTTTTAATATTTCCAACTTATGTAGATCAAACCCAAAGTGAAGAGCACAGGCCTAAAAAAAAACCAAGAAAAGAAGGTGAAAAAAAGAATCTTCTATAATAAAAAAAATTATCAAAGAATTATCAACCGATACTTCTGGTATTAGCAAAGCTTCAGAAATAAATATAAGTAGTAGTAGTTTTTTGCAACTTTCAATAAGATTGACTACGCAGAATCTAAAAATGAAGATACAACAAGAGAACTTATTGAAAGTTATTTCAATTTTGGTGAAGCTATATATATATAAACAGTATAAGGAGTTAAAAGCTATTTATGGTAAAGTAGGTACCACTGCTATTGTAAAAGATAAGGTCAGAAAAGAAATTCCAAAAATAAAATTTACTAATAATGCTCTGCGAAAGAGAAGGGAAAGAGCTGAAAAGGTATATAAGCTTTTTTCTAGTATTGGTAGTAAAACTAAGATTTCACAGATTAAAAGTTTTCTAGCAAGATTTATTTTAAATTTATCTTAAGATAATATCAATTATATAATTGTTGAGGTTTTAAAAATGAATTAATAAAATATATACTTACTGCGCTATATTACTGTGCCTAGACACGCATGTTCAGTTTTTCTAAATTAATAAAGTACAAGCAAAATTTGTAATATTGATTTTTCTGAAATAAATTATATATATGTTGATATAGGATGTTTTGACCTTATGATGCTTATTATTGTTATACATAATTTGTCTGCAGTACACATTACAAAAATTTTAGCCACATAAATATTATTTTTTCTGTTAATACAAATGATAAAAAATCAGAATAATATACTTACAAATAAAAATTATATTGAAAAGTAGCACATCTTTAGAGGTTGGAAGCACGGGTATAAGATTTGTGATGAATACAACTATCATTTGCATCTATATTGCAAAATATGCAAAAAAGTAGCTGATAGCATATATAGGCAATGTGAGTGTGATTATTAGAATAAATTCTGTATACATATAAATTATCTGTACTATAATATCTTTCAAGGCTTATTATTACTGCATTATGCATAACGGGAAAAAAGTACAAAAAATTTTTCTCGAATTAGTACCCAACCTAAATTCGGATAATAATCTCATAACACATACGTTATCTATGCAACCAAATTTTTATATGATTTTTTTGAATTTTTTTTACAAATATTCATGGAAAAAATAATACCCAAGCTTTAGATCTATTACAAAGCCCATATAAAAATTTATCCATTCTACCCAAAATGTATATATAGTTCTGTTTTTATAGTTTCTCTAATAAAAACCAAAAGCTCTACTAGGTGGTTGAGCGAAATATAATACTTAGTGAGCCTTCACTACGTCGCAATGCTGAAGATATCAAGATCTCCAATGCATATTCTACATGTCTAGGGGGTACTCTATGACAAAGTAATGTAATATCAAATATAAAGATTAGCATAAAGTGCATATGAGGCTTTTTTCTTTGTTGTTTTCCTCTTTACACTACTATTCAAAAATGAATGAAACTATTTATAAAGGGCAGTATAATGAAGACATTGTTATTTATTGCTTTTTAGTGATTCTGTTTATTTTTTCATCACTTTCGATTAATATTTTTTTTAAAAAAAAACAAAAATGATTTTTGGCATTGAAGAATTAGTTCATATTAAAGGGGAGACTGTCACTCTTGCCGTAGTAATTGTACAAACATCCTATACAAAAGAATTAATATTCGAAGTGGATCTTGTCGAAATGCTAAAGAGCATTGGTGGTAAAGTTATCCATAAAGGGTGAGTTTCTCATTGAGTTATTTGTCAAGTTGTTGTGTATTCGAAGTTACACTGTCACATCGGTGTAAATATCTAGTAAGAAATTGAAAGCACATCATGGCGATCACTATGGTGGTCAACATTCTTTCTTTCTAGTTTCTGGTGTTTCCGAGATGCTTAGGTACTGGGAATTCATAATGAATAGGATATACTCTAACATAGAAAGCACTGTTGTTGACTATTCCACCTGTGCAACTTCTTTGGTTAGTTGATGATTATGACGCAAGAATTCACATTTTATTTTAATTTAGGAGATCAGGCAACAGTGACATCAATATTATATATGAAATTGCCATGATATGATTTATTATCCAATATAAAAATTAGGACAGACTCAATATAGGTATTATTATATTAAATCAGATATTTGGGCCTGCCTTCTCACAATACCTCTTTTTTTCTCATAAATTCGAAAAAAAAGAAAAAGATAGTTATCTGTTTTTTAAAAATATATTTTGCCCCACAGATCATAGATCAAGGGGCCAAGCTTGCGAGAAAAAATAAAATTTAATTAATAACATTAAATATATTCACAGATTGCCCAGTTGTAGATGAGTTGCATGGTGTCTTCACTCGAACCAAGCAATCCAAAGGGACTATTGGCATAATAGTGAGCCCTTCTATAGATAGCTTTACTCCTGATACAATAAATGCAGTACTAGAGATAGCAGAACCACCAGAACCATCAGAGCCAGAACTATTGGAACAACTACCTCCATATCCTATCATTGTGACAGATATAGACCGATTGCCCAAATATTTGATCAATACAGTTCTTGATAGGTTACATAACAAATCTTATACCTTCTCCCTCTTACTATAAATTTATTTTAGTTCATTGTATATATATATTTTTTACTTTTCTTATTGTATCAATAAAGCTGGCCCTGGTGGCTGATTTCATATACATAATCGTGCTTACTTTTGCATGTGTATTTATTATCGATATACATTACTCGCATATTATTGAAAATTTTCTTAGCAAAATTTGGTGAGGGGCATAGGACCCCCCTTCTTTATTTAATATTTTTTTTGCCAGAACGGACAATATACAGATAAAAAAATATATTTTTATTTATATAATAAAAAAATACAAATAAAAAAGAAAAAAATTATGGTATCATTTCTACAATAATATGAATGTAACCTTGATTAGGATTTGAAGAGAAATGGTGATAGATTTCACAACCTGAATTCATAGTTATATAACTCCCACCCCCATGGTAAGAGTAAATCTGTGAAGCCAAAAGTTTAATCCTGGTGGTAGAGCAGCCCGAACTTGAGTTTCTATTGTGCTAACATTGTCTCCATTAAAAATATTAATTGTATGAACAGATTCACCAATCAGACAATTAAAGGTAATATTAATATAATTGTTAATACTGCTCATTTTTCGTTCCTAAATTCAAAAAGACCATAGTAAGTAAAACTTCGTCTCCATATTGATTGCATGAAATGGAATAGAAAATTACTTTAAAAATTAATTACGAGCGAGTAAATCAAGTAAAAATATATATGAGCGAAAATAGTGTTATTGCTAACTTATCTTGTAGGTAAGAACTTGCTTATTTTTATACTTTATATTTGTTCAGTCTGAAAACCTGCCAGAAAGAAAAATACACGATTAGTAATTATGTTACCCAAATCTAATGCCAGTTTTTTTTTCCATAAAGCAACTCCGCTCGGTTATAAGTTCTAAATACTGATCTATTTTGTTATTTTTCTGGTAAAATTAATCCCTTAGATTCAACGATCACTTAAGGTAGATTTAGATCTAACGATCTTAGAGATGCGGAGATTCCAAACCTCTGCAACATATGAATTTGGATAAAACTACTGATAAAGAACATTATACTCATTGCCCTTATAGCCTTTTTAAGTCTCTTTCTTATCGTGGAATCATATAAACTAAGGAAAAGGGTCTAGACGCTCTTCATATTGGCGCTACTTATCAATTTAATAAAAAATTGACTGTGAGAAATTAAGGTAACACTGCATAAAATTTAATGCAGGCTATTGATTATTAAAGCTGGTCAAGGTTTCATCATACATAAATCTGATCACTATCATTATTATCGTAAAAATATAAAGATATTAGTTAACTATTAACTATACTCCGACAGCCTCTGGAGACCATTGGGGACACAAAATTTATACGATAAGAATTTATACAGATCTATAAGACCTTAAGTCATATGATAGCATGACAGAATAAATTCAAACACCCGTGAAATCAAATTACTGCTACGTAGTTGTGTTAAAATAGCGTACACGTATGTTTACTGAAATTTCATTAAAATATAGATTCTAGATAACTGCTGTTAAGCCACTGTTAAATTGCTGTTGGCTTTTTCATAATAAACAAATATAAAATTATCTAAGCCACTGTCAAATTGCTGTCAAAGCGCTGTTGAAGCACTGTTGAGACATAACAATAATAGTAATAAAAAATAGCTAATTTATTAGCTATCATAATCCAAATATCTCATGATCGTTATTTCAAAAACATGTACAGTCATCCCCCTCTATAGTCACCTCCTCTATAGTCACAACCTCAATATAATCACGTTTTTTTTTTTACCAACCTTTTTTATATTATTTATACCTCTATATAGGCACAATCGCCTTATAGTCACTATCACGTTTTTTTATTAACCAATCATAGAACATTTATATAAAATAGCCCTCTATAAAATCACACTATAAATACAACAAATCAG